ACTCATAGTTTGATATACCTACATAATTTGATAGATTAATTAATAATTAATAATTATAATTATTAATCATTTATTAATTAAATTAGATAAAATTAATATTTTTAACGATAATATTTTATAATTTTTAGTGATTTTAACTTTATAAATGATGCCCATAACTACACTCATAGTTTGATATACCTACATAATTTGATAGAGGAAATTATAATTTAGTTATTTGTATTTTTTTATTTTAAATTATATAATAAGTGGTAATTTTTTTCTCATCTTTTAATTTATTTTACCTATATGTCTTAGGACTCAAATTTAGAACATATTACTTTTATTAAAAGGAAATTTTTACTAAGTTATTTAGTTTTTATCACTTTTAGTTTTAAGTTAGTTAAATTTTTTTTAATTTTAATTTTTTTTTATCTTGAGTTGCATAATGATAAATAACTTTCTCCCACCTCTCAATCCATCATATCCACATATCATACAACTCAAAATTAAAATCTTTTATTTCTATTGAAAAAAATTATCATCAAATTATTTAATTTTAAGTTCATATAAAAATTTGAGAATTTAAAATATTTCTATAATATATTTATAATTTGAGGTAAGTGCACGTAAAAAAATTAAAATTTTAAAATGTGTATGCAAGCACCTAAAGTTTGTAGTTGTTGTACTTAACTACATGAGGTTACATGGAATGTTAGAACAACTTTATGTTTGTCTCTTTTCATTCTTTAAAGGTAGAGACATTTTAAAACATTTTAAGCCACTATCTGCACTTAGTGCAAATCTCATGTTATGTATGCATTTTGAAATTTATGTCTTTATTAACACATCCAAAATTACAAATACATTATGTTATATTTTAAAATCTCAAATATTTATATATAATAATTTTTTATAGTGTAGTATGAACGTTAATTGAAATTTTTTAATAAAATGAATTTACGCTACAAGATTCTACCAAAAAAATTAACAAAACAAGAATTATGTTTGGAAAGATTTGAAATTATGCATCAATCCTATATGTTAAGTAGCACGCAAAAAAATTTAAAGCAATAACTATTTAAGAAAAATATAGATTTGGCTTATTGAAACAAAAATATAAAATAATTAAAAATACAAAAATATATTTTACAGTTTGACATGCATGAACCAACCTATAAAACAAAAACTGTATTAAAGTGAATGGAACCCTATGGGGTTAATTAGAAAAAGACATTCCTCGCTCACGATTCACGTTTTCTAACTGGATTGCACAACACAATGGACTTTAACAAGTTTTTCTTCAGTTTTTTCCAAGAATAATGATGATGGAAAGGATGAAAATTTAAGATTAATAATATGATATAAGTTATATTATTAAATTAATTAATATATATAATATTATAAATTTTAAAAAAATAATTATTAAATAATATAAAATTTATCTTTTTAATATTTTAAATAATATAACTTATATCATACTATTAATTTTAAATTTTAATCATAAATTTTAATCCCAATTACCACCATTCTTTTTCCAACATGCCATGAAGTACACTCCAGAGGGTTTGTTTGATTTTTTCAAGTCACAAAAGTCTAGATTTCTCCAGTCGCAGTCAATGTGATACTGATGGCATTTTGTAAGAAGAATTGACGAAACACGCCAAAGGACAATCCAAGCCCATCCAATACGCAATATAATGGTCATTCCTTCTGATTGACTTTAGAATTTTGTTACACATCATTTTTACCTATATATTATTTATTTAAAATTTTTATTATTTATTTTTTATTATAAATAATTAAAATTTATTATTTTGTTTTATTTTTAAAAATAATTATTTTTTATTATTTTATAACAAATGATAACTCATAGCTTTACATAGTAAAAAAAAATTAAATGATTAAAATTTTATATAAATAATATATATATAAATTATATGTAAATAATTTTTAATAATATATTTAGTTTTAAAAAAATTATTTATTTAGTTAAAAAAATCAAAAGAAAAGGGAAGAGAAGAAAGCTATTTACTTTTTTTTTTTCTCGTAATCCCTTTATTTATTCAGACGAAAGAAGAGAAAAGGAGAAAAATATAGAGCTATAACATCTTTTCAATTACTTTTTCATCATTCCTTTTAAATCAAATATATTATAATTTTTTTCTAAATTTTTCCTTTTAACCAGTAAAAGAAAAAGGAGATTTCCTGGCTTGAAAGTGCATGCTTTGGATCAATCTATACCCTCTGATGGATTCATTATCCTCGTTTTGATTGATCATCAAAATTGACTCTTGTATCTCAAGATAATTGATATTTTTTACGTTTTCAATAATTAAGAATTTATTGTATTAGCCTTAAGCAAAAAGATAAAAATAAAGAAAGAAATGATAATTAAAACAAAATTTTCATTTTCTCTCTATTTTTCTTAACTTATTAACTTGGCTCAAGAGATTATGAAATTATTTGAATTACGTTGAAAATACAAGTTTGAATCCTTTTAATATCATTTAGATACAAATAATTCTAATAAATTACCACTATCGTCTTTTAAGGTAAAGCTTTACATTATATTTGTGAATAGAACAGTCTATAAATACTCAATAAAATTAAATAAATCGTAGATTTGAATATTTATGTTATCTTTAAAAAAATTTCCCTTTTAACCATAGAAAGATAAAGGAGAGATTTTCCAGCTCTTGTTACTGTATGATACAACCAAGTTGATAGCGTACACTTTGGATCGATCTTTACTATTTGAATTTTTTTTCCTTATTGACAAAGAAAAAATTCTTATTATAAGATAGTAGAAGCGGAACTCTAACGCTAAAACAAGAAAAGTTACATCCAAACAAAGAAAGAAAAAGGGAAAAAAAAAACAAAAGTCTATATTTTTTTTTGAATAATTTTGCAAGAAGTCGGATTCAAACAGTTATAAAAAAATGTATTTAAACGTGATTGGACGTCACTAAATTTAAAAGTTTAAGTGCAAAAATATATATATATATATATATATATCGGCACTTGACAGGCTCAGAGTCGAGGAGAAAAAAATGCACCAATCACTATAATTAAAACTAATTAGTATGCAGTACTCTTCCCTTTGATCTAACAACAGGACTTCGTTCGTATGAGCTGCGAACACTGTATTTTTTCCACGAGAGAGTGTGCATTGAAGATGACCATTTCTTCTAATCCACATAGTCCGTCGTTTTCACATCTTTACCATTTGATGCATTCACTGTCCTCATTTTGGTTGATCACCAAACTGTAGTACTTAAATGATGATGCTTAGTCGCTGGCCTTCTATTGATGAGAAATATGATGTGCTGTCTCTGTATGTAATTATTGTATTGATCACAAAAATTATTAACGGGCTGCGGTGTGGTTGCTGTATTTATCAACAAAATAATGCTGCTAGCTCTTCTTGCTACACGCTGATGGAACAAGTATGAATTCTAACATCCCCTTTAGACTCTACTTTTTTAGAGTGATGTAATACTGCGAATCACTCTAAACGTACAGTACTTGCTATCTATATAATATATTTTTTAGTTGTTTTGTTTTAGTAATTTAATTTAATAATTTTATATAATAAATGAATAATAATTTAATTTAATAATTTTATATAATAAATAAATAATAATTGCAAAAATTATATAATTTTTATTAAATAATTTTATTTGTATATAAAAAATTTAATTATCATTGATTTACTATATAAAAATATGAAATTAAATTACATAAAAAAGTTCGGCTAAAACAAAATTACATAAAAATGAAAGACTAGCTTGGATAACTGAAAGAGACGAAAAAGTATTTTTATACTCTTGTCGGTGAGTAAAATGATAACCTTAAAATTAAATTTACTTATAAATAAATATTACTTCATAAATTAAATTTATTGTTTAAATTTTAAGACAATACCTAAAAAATTTAATTTTATTAAATGTACTCTTGAGGTGGTATAAAGGAGCACGCAATTGAGCACAAAAACATGGCAAAATTCCCTCTTAATCCCCTAGATTTATTTCAAATTAGCACACCAGTCTCTAAACTAAAAATGGTAGAAATAAACGTTTAAACTCTTCAAATGATGCAAATTAACCCTTATCATTAATAACTCATCGCTTTCGACCTCATACCATTTGTTTTTTTTTTCCTTCACTTGATCTTACTTTTTTACATAGATGCTAACATGAATTAAAAGATACCTTGGACAGTAAAAGTCTTGTCAAAATAGTTCATGAGACTTGAGAACACTAAATAAAAAGAAATAAGGCAACGTGGGCCCTTGGATAGGATTTTTACCACTTAAGAGATTCTTTGATTTACATCAACATTCACATGGAAAAGTGGGACTAAGCGAAGGAAAAAAATAATCTACATGAGATCACATGCGTTAGGCCATTAATGATAAAGGTTGATTTATATCACATGCTTGCATAGGCTTGCTACT